GGGGGTGGGATGGAAATAAGAAATGGAATGTCATAGTACAAAACACTTTTTAACAGTCACGCAATCGAGAAAACTCATGTAAATTCTTTCGACATTGAGTGATCTAGTTGCTTCTTGCAGCTCAAACGATTGGGATACTAATTTAAGTAAAAATGCTACAAGCTTAATATGAAACGATCACCAAATGCTTAACAACGAACTTACCAAGAAGTTTGACGAAATCTCCCATATATTTATTATCGGGGTGAATTATGGATCCTCCAGATTCAAAACGTTTTCCAGCAATTTCTATCGTATCTAAACGTCCACCGATCCTGTCTGAAGCCTCAAATACATCAATCGTTGCCTCTGATCCAAAAGCTCCCGAAGAAAGTGCGATGAACTCGAACCTCCGATGCCCGCTCCAATGACGGCTATGTTGGGTTTTAACCTCCGCTCTGCTGCGAAAACCGATCTTTGCCTGGCGAAGAAGAGAGTTGGGAATAAGAAAATGCTCGTGCCTAGGCCAAAACCAAATGCTCGATACATTGCTTTCTCAGTAAGGGCAGTAATGACCGAAGAATACTACGCACACTGTCTGATCGTGCGTGACGAGCTCAAAGGGCATTTGTGTCCCCATACATGATACAGACCGGGAGCCGCGAATTGGGTGCTGACCAAAAAGATCGCGGATTTAGGAAAACGAAAATTTTCCGAAACAGCCTCTGGCGGGCAATTGATAATACACTCTTTCTTTTTTCACAAGAAGTGTCTTATGAGAATATCGAGGCACAAATTTGCGAAATTTTAAGGATATTTTCAAAATAAGCCCGAGGCTTAGATTTTGAAAAGAGTATAATTTCTAACTCTTATAATTACCGAGCAGGAGGTCTGTATAGAAGAATCTTGACCGAGGTCGTGAGTAGAGACCGAACGCAGTGAGGTCTGTACACACAACCGAGGACAAGACTCTCCCATACAGACCGACTAAGCTCGGTTAATAAGATGTTTATTATATGGCAAACAAGAACAATTTAATTCGTCCAGTGTAACCGATCTGTGCCAGCTGAGTCATTTTTCTTGCGAACGGCGATGAGCCGAACTTAATTCTGCGAACGTTTGCTCGTCTTCTACACTTTTTTTTTCTCATCAGGCTTTTTGGTACTGCCATAAATAAATATTGTTAGAAGAAAATAGTCGATATTTTGGCATTTTAGTTTGCAACTTTTTAACCGCAAAACATTACAGGTCTAGATGCTGGTCCATAGATGGGAAAATCTAGACAGCTTTCAATATCAATATTTCAGCCAATCAAATTCGTGAATTCGGTAGTGTAAGACACAGCCATGTAATAATGTGTGATAAAAATTTGTAAACACAATACAATTATATGTTTTTTAACCACACCGTATAAAATTCTTACGTTATGAGCGTGATAACAGGCTCTAATGCCCGCCGGCAGGCCCCAAAACCACTTCAACACCATTACCAGACACCAAATATGTTCGACAACAGACATGCCATACGCTATAATCTAAGAATATTCACAAGAATATTTCCAGCCTAATATTCAGCCTCGGCTAGAAAAACCGAATATTCTGCGCTACTCTCAAAGACGGAAAGTGTTATTGATAAGTAGCTAAAAGTGTTGAAGCTCTATAATTATAATCACTCAAGAGAAACAAATAGTTCGAAGTATCCTAAGGGAAATAGTTTCGAGTTCAAAAAAAGCCAAGGAATTCGAAACAACCGAGTTGGACGGAACAACGCGAAACGCAGGGAGTAAAAAA